AGATAGATAGATAGATAGATAGATAGATAGATAGATAGATAGATAGATAGATAGATAGATAGATAGATAGATAGATGATAGATATTTGATAGATATTTGATACAAAATACAGCATAAATAGATATTGTGAAATATTTTTTTAACAATTTAAAAGAACTGTTTTCTATTTTAATATATTTTAAAAATTAAATGTATTTCTGTGATGGCAAAGATTAATTTTCAGCAGATATTACGCCAGTCTTCAGTGTCACATGATCCTTCATAAATAATTGTAATATGCTGATTTGCTGCTCAAGAAACATGTATTATTAGAAGTAGTATTATTATCATTATTATCATCATCAATGTTAAAAACAGTTGTGTACATTTTAATTTTTTTCAGGATTCTTTGAAAAGAATAGCATTTATAGCAAAAGAACAGCATTTGCCTGAAATAGAAAGCTTGTGTAGCATTATACACTCTTGTTCAAAAGTTTGAGGTCAGTAAGTTTTTTTTTTAAAGAAATGAATTAAATTAATGATTTTATTTAGCAAGGATGCATTAAATTGATTAAAAGTGACAGTATAAAAATAAAGCTGTCTATTTAAGTTAAATGCTATTCTTTTGGATGTTCTACTTATCAAAGAAATTTAAAAAAATATATACACAGCTTTTTTAACATTGATATAAAGTAAGAAGGCAGATGGGAAATCTGCTTACCATCAGACAGGAAGTATTCCACCTCTCCATTGATGCCCTCATCACCATCTCTGGCTTGAAGCTTGTAGACTAGAGTGCTTGGTGGGGCATTAGCAGAGACCACACTCAGGTAGGGGAAAGGGACCATCGTCCATTCTGGGGCATTATCGTTGACATCCATCACCGTCAAATCCACTCTCACCGTATACCAGTCAGGACCTGTAAATATAGAGATTTCCACACTCATATTTATATCACTCAAACTTTACTGAGAAGTGTCTTTAGTCATGAATGTATCAAATCAAATAAAAACCAGAGAAGGCGAAGAAAAAAAAGCCATTTAAAAATAGCTGGAGCAGTTTATTTTAATTGCCGGTTTTGTTTGGTAACTTCAGTTTGTGACACAGGACACAAAGCATAAGGCCCTGCATTGGCCCTGCATGACTGTGTCATGATATGGGTATCTTCACAGCACGTCCTCAGAGCAGTTTCAGAAACTATATTTTGAGATTTGATGTTTATTTTTCACAAAAAACATAAGCTACAAAACATCACAGATGCAGAGACACATTTACATGCAAGTTGGAGAGAATGGCAGATACTAATGAGTGGAGTGTTTTCCTCATGGCAGTGCTTGCTACGTTTAGCTGCTGCGTCGCCTCATTAAACATTCCTTCTTTATCACAATCGTCGCCTTGCAAAGCGACAGAACTAAAGACAGTTTCAGCACACATTTATGGACGACATGGTATCATCATGGAAATGCATGAGCGAAAAAAGCTAAAGGCCAAAAAGAAAGAAAACCGTGTCAGCCGTAAAACAGAAACAACACGCCGGTGTCTTCCCCCCTTTTTGTTACTTTTCACACTCGTTCAATCGCCCCTTCAAAAGCATCTCCCCATTTCCATTTATTTCTTTTTTTCCTCTTTCTAATGAAATTCCTCCCTTGCTCTCACTTTTCCCTGAGAGAGGTATAAATAGTGGGCTGTCTGTCAGAAGGTGTGTGGAGTGACAGAGTCACGGGCTCTTTGATTCCCCAGGTGATTGGCCCTTTCATTGCCTGTGACAGCACACCTGCTGCCTTACACTCTACAGGGGAGACACAGAAGAGCAGCAAGAGAGAGAAAGAGAGAAAGCTAGAACGAGAGAAGTGGGACTTAGTGGGGGAGGCTTAGAAAAAGATTAACTTAAGCTCTAGGTTTGGATCAATACAAAATGATTATTAATAATAGATTAATAGATAGGGGAGGTGGGCAAGAGAGAGCCATATTAAGATCGATATATATAAAGAGAGAGAGAGAGCGAGAGATAGAGAGAGAGAGAGAGAGAGAAAGAGAGAGAGCGAGGGCACAGAAAGAGAAAGCAAATCCCTCAGGGGTGTCAGGAGTGTGTCTCAGCTATAGTCCAAGCTCATAACAGGCTATAAGGTCACTCCATTTTTTGAATACAGCAAAAGCTGCTCATAACAAAACACACCGTTGACTCAACCACATCCAGAGCAGTGTTCAAACTTATGCACAGGTCATTATTTACAAGGACACAATAGCAAATAGACGATTTTTTGGCACCAAAATCTAGCAGTTTGACTTATTGAGTGGGTGGCATGGCCACAATCTTATATCACAGTAACAGTATGTGTCACAATATAGTTATTTTTGCTAGACTTTCAACATATATTACATAACTATACATCAACAACCATGAGTAAAGACTGTTCCTACACTGTGGTAAGCTTATGTTATTACCTCAATGAGTCTTTTTATACCTTAAATAACCCTTAAATGTAGTTTTGTTGGATAAATTTAGTTTAATTTAATTAAGGTAAATCATTATTTTGACTTGTGTAAAATTAATTAATGTTTTTAAAAAGTAAATCCTTTTTTAGTGTTTAATAACTGTTAAAAAAGGAAGAAAAAAAACGATTTTGCTTTAGCTTGTGTACTACAAATATTGTTGGCTTTTATGGTAAATTGCTTGTGATGTTCCTCATTTTTAAGTCTCTTTGACTAAAAGCATCTGCTAAATGAATAGATGTAGCATGTAAACATAATGTCTATTTTTCAATATTGTAGTGACATAAAAATTACAGTGTGGGTTGGTGGGTGGATCAGGGCTTGACGCAAAACAAAAAGTAAGATTATTCATAACAAATGAACGATAAGCCTGGCATCAGTACAAAAAGAGCTTAACATTACATAACACTTTCGAAGATGAAAAAAAACAACAATACAATAGCAATACGACTAGATGAGCCACAATTGAAGCCTTTATAAATAAATCACTTTCATTATAAACGTCTGTCATTTTTTAAATTTATTTATCTGCATCTCTGGATGAACATGTTTTTAATTTTCTATAAACAAAAAAGGTAACACTTTAGTATAGAGACCAATTCTCACTTTTGCTTATTAACATGCCTGTTATTAACATATTGGCTGTTTATTAATGCTTATAAAGCACGTATTCTGCATGACCATATTCTACATCCCTAATCCTAAACTTAACAACTATCTTAATAGTTCATGGTTTGTTAAATGCGAGAATTGGATCTTTTAAATAAAGTGGGACAATAAAAAATAAAATAAATAAATGAATAAAAAGTGGTGTTACAACAAAACATAACAATGCTGTCAATACTGGAAGTTTCTATCTACAATACAACCTATAGGTTTCTGCATCTGGTTAAATTTCTTCTTTATTAAACTGCACAATTCTAACATTACACTGTATCTTTATACCGCTAAAAGAAAAAAAGAAAAAAAAAAACGAGTTTGCATACTGCACCAAATTTATAGCAACTTGTTTTCACAGCATATACAGTACTCTGAAGTGAATGAACCCTCACACTTTCTGCTAAAGAGCAGAACTGTTTTGCTCACCCAAATGCTCCCTTAAGCACTGTGCGAGCATCAGGGTGCCTGTATGAGGAGCTGCTTAACATGACCTGCCAGTCAGAAACAGTCCCAGTGTGAGAGATGGATAGAGACACTGAGAGCCTTGGGGGAGAAAGAGGAGGCTGGAGAAGGCCTCTCAGGAGCTCTGATAGATGGATGAATGCCATGCTGAAGACAGAGGGCCATCAGTGATCGTGCAAAACCGATAAACATCACAGCCTCCTTCTGAATAAAGTTCCTAAACTTCCTTTCTGCTCACTGTTCTGGCACCGCAGCTGGTGGTTCCAGATTCATACAGCGAAAGACATGCATTAGAGATTTAAAGGAAATATTTCACCTGGATGATGGAAAACAGATGGAGGAAATTAAAAGATGGGATTGTATGAGAGAGAGAGAGAGAGAGAGAGAGAGTGAGTGAAAGAGAAACTGACTAACAAGGCTGAAAACAGAATCATGTAACGAGTTTGCATACTGCACCAAATTTATAGCAACTTGTTTTCACAGCATATACAGTACTCTGAAGTGAATGAACCCTCACACTTTCTGCTAAAGAGCAGAACTGTTTTGCTCACCCAAATGCTCCCTTAAGCACTGTGCGAGCATGTATGAGGAGCTGCTTAACATGACCTGCCAGTCAGAAACAGTCCCAGTGTGAGAGATGGATAGAGACACTGAGAGCCTTGGGGGAGAAAGAGGAGGCTGGAGAAGGCCTCTCAGGAGCTCTGATAGATGGATGAATGCCATGCTGAAGACAGAGGGCCATCAGCGATCGTGCAAAACCGATAAACATCACAGCCTCCTTCTGAATAAAGTTCCTAAACTTCCTTTCTGCTCACTGTTCTGGCACCGCAGCTGGTGGTTCCAGATTCATACAGCGAAAGACATGCATTAGAGATTTAAAGGAAATATTTCACCTGGATGATGGAAAACAGATGGAGGAAATCAAAAGATGGGATTGTATGAGAGAGAGAGAGAGAGAGAGAGAGAGTGAAAGAGAAACTGACTAACAAGGCTGAAAACAGAATCATGTAATAAGCGGAAAAGCAACAATGTGCGATTAAGACGATATACAACACCGCTGGAACGGCCTTGAGGTTGTTATGGAAACGGAATTAAAACTACACTCGGACAACAGGAAAGAGAAAACACAAGCTGCCAAATGACTGCATAAATCAATGTCATTAAAAGACAAGAATAGCGGTAAAAAATAGCTGTGGATCAAAGCCGCAGCGGAAGAAAATTTATCAGCATTTAGAGACAGGAAAAAAGGGCAACAAAAGCATTTAGCCACAATGTTTCCCCGCCTGCTTTATGTTACTGAAGAACAAGCTAAATAAACTCAATAATCTGCAAGTTCATACAGTAAGAATTACAACATACTGTATGTGCATACACATCAAAGAAATCAAAGAAAGTCTTTTATCACCAATGGTCCGTGTAATGCTTCACAATTCAATTTTCAGACCATATGGAGCAAATGCAAAAATGAAAAAATGAAACCAAACGTTCATTTTTAAAAAAAAATTCAGAATATGAGCCTGCCCAGAATATGAAGGCAATTTGCGCTAAATTGCACGTTAAGTGTTAGAATGTGAATGAGCAAAGTTTCACGTGAAGCGATTTCCTCCCATAGAAAACTATCTGCCACACACACACACACACACACACATAACCACCGGAGATGTAGGCTATACATAAAGCTTTATTCATCACTAAACATTACCACAAATTATGTAACTCGGCTGCCGCTGCCACTTCCAAATGATGTCTCGCACTCTGTGGCAGCAACCGCGACCGTGGAAAGTGGCAGCGGAGCATAGCAAATTACCGTATAATGTTTTTCAAATGTAGCTTTTACAGTTCAAACATTAACCAGAGATCTATGTAGATGGATTTTCGCACCTGGTGTTTATGAATAAAGCTTTAGCCTACATCTCTGGTCACGGTGGTTATTGTGTGTAGGCCTATGGCAATACTTTTCTATGGGAGGAAATCGCTTCACTTGAAACTTTGCGCATTGCATAAATTGTCTGGGCTCTTTGGCTTGTGTGTAAATAGTAGGATATGCTTTATTAATAAGGTGTATGCTTTGCTTTTTTTAAATCACTCTCTTAATGCATTAAGCCACATTAAGCATTTTCAAATAATGGTTTTCAATGGGAGGAAAACTTTGCGTGTCGCGTTCATATTCCGGTCACATCTCCTTCCCAGTAGGCAATGTAGTTTGCAACATTAATAAGCGTATACCAAATTTGGCTATAGCCTATTTTTACACCAATGTCTTCTTCCATTAAGCCTATGGGAGGATAACAATTCAGTAGCATT